ACATATTTAAATCCCAGGAAGCATAATTTACATGCATATGCTATAAGTTAAACAATATGTTGTTTTAAGTAAATTTATATATTTTTAATAGATGATTTAGTTACTTAATATTGTTTTGACAATTTAAGTGGGTGGATATTAGCATTAAACTAATTTAATCAATTAATTGGATTTAAATAGTTTAATTACGTCCTAGAGGTTGAAACAATCTATTTGAGCTGCATGTTAATTTATTATATTGTAAAGATTAAATGCATGTTACTTGGAGTTGTTATTTTGCTTAAATATATGTAACGATTATATATGTGATTTTTATCATGTTATTTTGGATTATTTGATGTACTGCTTTATCTGTTGCATCATGTATTGGATTATGTGATTTAATGCACCGATATGAGATGGTGACATTCTAGGGATGGATTAACTTATCAGTTAAGTCCTACCTATTTTATGTAAAGGGATGGATTAACCAAAATAATGTTGAGTCCTACCTATATTTAAGTCAGGTCAACTGAACAAGTTGAATGACTTATAGATGATTAATTATAGTTGGCTAGGATGAATTATATATGTATAATTATGGTGCCATGATAGTCTCAGGATCATGGTTAAGATGCGTATATTGCTGGGGATGTATAGCTAAATATAATGTAGTTGTGTACTCTGGTAAGTCTAGGTACTCATGCCCACTATATGTGCGTTTTGTATATTGCGTACTATTTAGGTTGAGATAACCCTATAGTCTAGTGAGGTTCCTTTTAGTGTGTATCTATATATATGTACGGACTACTAGATATTGTTGGATTGACTAGGGTGTATACGTGTATTGGATCTCTGCTTGAACTGTAGTAGGGTAGAACTTGTTTGTGGGCCTGACCCACCCTTATTTTTCAGGTGTTCATCAAGAATAGGGATTGTTCATGCTAAAAAGGGATCATCTACTTCGTTCTTTTGGTTTATCTACCTAGGAGTTTCCTTTATGATTCAGTATCTAGTTATAGATAGTTGTTTACTTTTGATTATTGTTTTGAGATTTTCTAGGGGTCTACACGGTATGGATTCCCAAGTTGTATTATTGGAGAATTAATTGTATCAGAATAATTTATTATTTAATGGAATTTTATTCTGAGGTTTTAATTAAAGGATTATCATTTTAGTTTTCTTTCAGAAATTTATTTATTCTTATTTATCTATTTTGTATTCTGTGTTCAATTATTACCGATTTGTTTTTTATATCCTCGGGTATTTAGGCGTGGGCCTGACCAACCCGTATCTGAAAATCTGGGGGTATCACAGGCATGCATGCAATAGAGGAGGGCCAGACCTCCTCCCAGTCATCGGTGGGCTCTCCGGCCCGGTTATCAACCCCTGTAAGTCCTCCATGGACCAACTTCTTTATGGCCTCCGACGCAAAACCATTCAAGAACTTGACGTACCATGAATGTAATTGAGGAACTAAGGTCTCTATTCCTCTCTCTGATGTTTCGACAAAGATTGATTATTGGAAGAATTCTGTTGTAGGCTACATAATGGGAAATGACCTTTCTATCATAGGTTTAAATCATTTGTGGAACGACGTTGGTCGAAGAATAATACGCTACTGTATCTAAAGCAAGGTTTTTTCATGGTTAGGTTTGACAACGCAGAGGATAGTCAGATGGTTTTATGAAGGATTCATACGTTTGAAGGGCGCCCAATCATTCTGAAACGTTGGTGTATGACTTTTCCACTCCTCAATGTGGCGATTGCCTGAAATTGCTCATGATGATTACTTAAAGGATTAGTGTCATAAATCACGTAAGTTTGCCCTTTTGGGTTAGCCACAAGTTGACTAGGTAGCTTCTCATTCTCTTTATGAGATAAAGTACTAGCTATTTGCCTAACTTGAGCTTCTAACTTAGCTATGGCCTGAGAATGAGAGTGGAGTAATAATTTTTTGGAGGAGGAGGAGGAGCTTGATTAGCTTGATTTCAAAATTAAGGAGGACGATAAACATATGATTGATTGAAAGAATTATTTAGGGGCTGAGAATTGGATTGATTTGAAACTATCCCTAAGATTGTGGGATAGTGTTACCTTGGCTTTGATTCCATCATGATATATTTGGATGATCTCTCCATCCCAAGTTATAATTATTTGAATATGGATTATAACCTGGTTTGAAGAATGTGGCATTGGCTTGCTCTTAGGCGAGTTCAGAAGATTGCCTTGTTAGAGGACAATTTTCAACAAGATGTGAAGGATTAGAGCAAATAGAGCACACCTCATGTGGAATAGAGGAGTTATATGCGTCCAAGCGGGGCGTCAATAATAAACCACTAACTAAAGCACGAATTCACAAAGAAAACAGTTAAATATGGGTATCGATTTAAGAAGATTGCGAAGCTTATGGCAATCAGATTTCAACGACTAATTTTATGTTTGTTAATGTCACAAAATATGGTTTGAAGATTTGTTGTTTATTTGTTGCTTGCATAAAAATTAAATAAAACTGATTCGAATTCAAAGATTAAAATAACAATTAAAGGGAGGCTAGGGAATTGAGTTCAGCAAGACCTTGTAATCATGCTTTAATGTAATTAACTTGGGGAAACAACCACATGTAAAGTTAAAGTGTAGAAGTAGAAAACAACTACAATAATTTTCTAGAAATTTATACAATTCAATACTAAGCATAACCCATCTGCGGTTGACATGGTTCATCCACCTAAACTAGGGTGTGGTATGAGCCATCTTCCCTAGGCATGGCTTATCAAGGTCTTGACATTACATATTTTAGCACAAGAAATCAATTCTCTGGCATAGACTATCTTTAGTTGGCATAAACTATCTACCTAACTACATTAATCTAGGGGTGTAGCATAGTCCATCTTCCCTTGGCATAATCTATCTAAATTCATACATAACATGCCTATAATCCCATTTCATAAACTCAATCTTCATTGTCACTTATAAAGATATCAAGAATATAAATATATAATCATAGTTCTAAGACAAAAATTACATGGTGTATATACTTACATATATATATATATATATATATATATATATATATATATATTCTGCCCAGATCATACCTCAATTTAATGTAAATACACAAATTGAAAATACATTTTCTTCTTATTCATGAAACTCATCACATACAATAATATTCCCCAAACTAAATTACAAAGACTACATGACTACTTTGATCAGGGCTACCTTAATACCTTATGAGGGAATTTAGCTCATCCTGGTGGTGGTTGAAGCTCCAATGGTTGAAGAGGAAGCCTCCATCTTCAGCTCCATAGCAGCCACGCCCAAGAACACTCAAGAACCCTAGCTATTCTTCACTTTCTCTCTAGAAATTTACAAAATTTGAATTCTCAAAATGATATATGATCCGAGATACATCATTATACATGTGTATGTAACCCCTTCTAGCATAATCAGGTTCAAAACCCCTAAAAATCGTGCATTCATGTAGAGAGGAGGGAGAAAAGTACCTGAAATTTCAAATCTGCTCAAAGTTCGCAGGTGTGTGTCCGGATGCAAGGAATGGTGTTCGGACGCTGAGTGTCCATAGGCTTGTCATGGCGCGCTGGCCTCTTGTTGGCATGGCTTGTGGTCTTGGGCGTCCGAACGAAAGGCTGAGCGTCCAAACGCAATCCATGTATGTGGATGTAAGTTATAGTGGTTGAACCACATTATATTCTTGTATTATTCATAGTTTAATTTCTCTCTTCAAATTTTATATCTTTCAAAATAATCTAAGTTTAATTTCTCTCTTCAAATTTTATATCTTTCAAAATAATCTAATACTTTTCAATTCAGCCCTTAGATTGCATTTCAATTCTCAATTATTTTGTAGCCAGTTTTCATTTAATCAGGAAAAAGAAAAAAATTTACATTTAATGAAGCATTGAATTTCCCAGTTAATTTTCTACCATAGTTTCCTTTACAAAATATCAAGGGTACGTGTGCTCGGCTGCATGGGATTGAAGTCTTGGAATTGGAATTGAAGAAAAGTTTAGTTCAAATTGCTGAGTTAATTTTCTCTAATTCTAAGTTCCAATTCCATACAGTGAACATAGCCTAAGAACTTTCTGCACGTTTGTAAAGTAGACTCTGTCGTCACTCTTAAAAAATAAAATTATACCCAAACACATTTTGGCATGAAAACCGGGCAGAACTAGTGTTGAAAGCAGCTTAAACCCCCTTTTTTCTAAGGAAGATTAGTTACCAAATAGGTTACTGATGGAATGAACTCAAGTTGGCATCATCAATTAGAAAACTAAAAATATATAGATGAACTAAATTTATAAGATTGCATAGCTTTGGTAGTTTCCATTCAATCATCCTATTCGGAGTGTTCAAGAAAGCAAAACTTCTATGCCCTAACTTCATGTAACTCAACCTTAGCTTAACCCAAAAGCAAAAAAGAGATTTAGCTAATTAAATTTTAGTTTATTTGAGATGAATGTTGATGGGAATAAAAAAGTACGCAGTCGTGCAACTAAGTGTTTTGACACGTAGATTTTTGGGGCCATTACAAATGCAGACCCCATCTCAGCAACCCAACGTCCCACTTCCAAAAATATTGACAAGTGTAAATCGAAAAAAAAAAAATCTTTATGCATGGAGAATAATTCTTTTTCATCTCAAATTACTTTTCTACCGATCCAAATATTTAAATGGGTTTGGCGTCAATCCAAATCCATGGTCAATTGGTAAATTCTATCAATAGTCAATGCAATTAGACAACTTTTGATGAAATGCCCATCTCTATCAAATACTATAAGCCTATACCAACATATTATCAGTGGAGGTGGCCGAAAATAATCCTTAATTCTGATCATTCATAATACATGGAGGGCATTTTGATGGACTGTGTCACGAGCGAAAAATCCTCTATATCACATATTTCAAATTTTTCTCTCCTTCCAGCTGTATAGCCTAACATATACACATATATATATATATAGACACACACAAGAAAATTAAGAATTAAGAGAAAAGACCAACACATATAACATGGCGGCGAAAAAGACATTCGCCGTCATATTTACAATTATTCTCAGCATTTTCTCCACCACTGCCGTCCCCGTCCCCGTACCGGACAACACTCCACCAATCCCGGTGGAGAGGGCCCAAGTGGACAGTTGGTTTCAGACCAATGTGAAACCGCACAAGGAGCGGACGAACGGTTTGGACCCTCCCCTTGTGCAGGCTGAGAACAATCCCAAAGTGATGAAGGTGGGTAAAGATGGCGAATTCAAGACGGTGATGGATGCAATTAAGAAAATCCCAGATGGAAATACTCAACGGGTGATCATCTCAATTGCGCCCGGAATTTATACCGAGAAAATCATCATTGATAAAAAGAAGCCATTTGTCACCTTGTTAGCTAGTGATCCAAAGAATATGCCAACTTTGGTTTTTGGCGATACAGGAGCAGCCAAAGGAACTATGATGTGTGCTAGTGTGATAGTTGAGTCTGATTACTTCAGTGCTACCGGTGTAATTTTTAAGGTCCGTGTGTGTATATATATATATGTATGTATATTTACACTTACACAATACACAATTTGTTTTCCTCTCTTCTTTATTGATTAGTGTGAATTCCTGTGTGTTGGTGTTTCAGAATTCGGCACCAAGGCCGAAGCCCGGACAACAGGCACAGGCAGTCGCGCTCAGAATCTCCGGGGACAAGGCCTCATTCTATAACTGCAGATTCCTTGGATTTCAAGACACACTTTGTGATGACAAAGGCAAACATTTCTTTCAGAACTGCTACATTGAAGGAATCGGCGATTTCATCTATGGCACTGGAAAATCTCTTTACGTGGTTAGTATCAAGAATTAATCTCTAACAATAAACAATTAATAATATAAAATAATAATGATAATTAGCTTGAATTTTCAAAAGAAAATATATTAATAAAAGTGACCAATGATTTCATTTAAATCATTGCAACACCATAACAAACAATTGTTTTTATGTTTGATAACTAAAATTTAATTTTTTTTCCTATGATTAAAGGTATGCACATACATTGATTTTTTTCTTAATAGATTAACAATGTAATGGAATTTTTTGATGCAGAACACAGAAATACATGTGATAGAATTCCCTCAGGCATTTATTACGGCACAAGGAAGACAGACCGCTAATGAAGATTCCGGCTTCTCATTCGTTCATTGCAAAATTACTGGCACAGGCAGAAATGCTGACTTAGGCAGAGCTTGGAAGCCTTTCGCCAAGGTGGCTTTTGCCTACACTGAAATGAGCGATGTGATCAAGCCTGAAGGATGGAATAACAAAGATGAAAAGTGAGTCATCATCTTATATATACATTAAATATTGATATACATATGTAATTTCTCTATAAGTTATCAGTTTTTCAATTTTTGAGACCAATTATTTCTAACTATATTGTTAATTGGAGGTTTGACCTGGGTTGGCTATTATTTTTTTTTTCCTAATTGATACTCACACACCCTCCTCAAGGAATTGTTTGCACACCAGAAGAGCGAACTTTAGACCCAAGGGTTGTCCATTATTGTATAACATGATGAATTGTACTATGCAAAACTATGTTCCTATATATAATTTACGTACATATTTATATTGCTACTAATGAAAAGGTAATGACGGATTTAATTGCAGGACGGTTACTTTCGTAGAATTCAAGAACACGGGTCCAGGGTCCAATCCTGGAGGAAGAGCTAAATTCTCGAAGCAGCTAAGTGATGCAGACGTTAAACCCTATATCAGCCTTGGCTTTATAGAGGGTTCCAAGTGGCTTCTTCCTCCACATAAAGCTTAAAATCTACTGCAAGAATAGGAAGATTGACACAGGTGGAAAAGATGGAAGAAGGAAAACTAATAACAAGAGATCTCACTTTCTACCACTGCGAAAGTGAGATCTCGTCTCATTCAAATCTTCGTATTGTTTAACAAAAGCTTTTTTTTATTTTTTTTTTTTGTTTCAAGACATTGACTACAAATTAATAAATGTTTGAAGCTGGATCAATGGTATTTTGATTTCACGAATGACAAACCTAAAGAACTTGAGGCATGGATCTCGGCGTGAATGTTGTAGCATGTTACAGCATTATATGTTTCATTTTCTCTCCTTATCTCTTTACTTTCATTTGTCTATAATAGATTATTTGTTTTTATTTTTATTTAATTATCATTAACACAAATCATATAATTGAATTAGATTGCAAATTTTGGCCAAGACCCAATTCACCCTCCCCCTCTTGGGTCATTACTTACGTAATAAAATGGTTTATCTAATAATATAATTCTTGTACATGAACCTCATATATATCGAATATGCCTTATGTCTTCATGTACGGAAAAGCATTCTTTTTTTACAACTAAAACTGAACGAAGCCATGCCTTAGGTCTTCATGTACGTAAAAACATTCTTGTTGTACAACTCAAGCTGAATGAATCCACGACTACAACTGGACGAAGCTACCAAAGAGGTCATTTCAACCGACCATATGCCATATGGCGATGACATGGCACTTTGGTCATGACTATGCGAGTAAATGTAGCAAGAAGAATCAAATATGCATGGTGACATTTAGAGAACATTTAGGAGAAAAACATGGCAGTTGATATAAATATAAGATCGCCGGTTCTTTTCTTTTTTTTTTTTTTCATCTTGATAAAAAAACACACTCACACCCACACCCCCACCCACTTGACCAATTCAGATTTCCACTAGATTACAACATTTGGTTGTAAGATGTACAAATTGAAGATCCTCTTATAAAAAGAGCTCTTTACTTAATTTTCCTTAATAGTAATGTAATCTAGTACTTTTCAATTAAGCCCTTAGATTGCATTTTAATTCTCAATTAGTTTGTAGCCAGTTTACATTTAATCAGGAAAAAGAAACAAGGTTACATTTAATGAAGCATCGAATTTCCCAGTTTCCTTTACAAAATATTTAGAGTGTATTCAACTGCATGAAATTGGTGCTTTAGAATTGAAATTGGTAATTAGAGAAAATTTTAATTTAATTTGCTAAATTAATTTTCTCCAATTTCAAGATTTCAATTCAATACAGCTGAGCATATCCTAAGAACTTTCTGCGCCTTATACTGTGTTTGGAAAGTGGACTATGCCGTCACTCTGAATAAAAAATAAAAAAAAAATTTATGCCCAAACACATCTTGGCATGCAAGCCTAGTGGGACTTGTGTTGAAGGCAGCTAAAACCCTTTTTTTCTGATGAAGTGAACTCAAGTTGGCACCAAACAGGTTACTGATGGGGTGAACTCAAGTTGGCATCATCAATGATCAACAAAAAAGCAATTGACCTCAATATAAATGAACTAAATTTATAATATTGCATAGCTTTTGTAGTTTCAATTCAATCAACTCTTATACGAACTGTTTAAGACAGAAAAACTTCTAAAACCTAACTTTATGTAACTCATCCTTAGCTTAACTCAAAAGCAAAAAAGAGATGGGCAATCTGTTAATAGAAAATATTATCACTTCAACCCCCATGTAGAAACAACAAGTCCAACATAGCTACACCTAGTGTGAGATATATATTTCGTAATTGGCTAATTTCGATGTCAAAACAATTCCGATCGAGTTATAAAATTTCAGTTCAGAATTTCAAGATTGAAGATCGGAAGCAAATTTGAAGAAGTTCATGTGTTCATGCTTATTTACACTCCGGGATAAAGAGAACAATGCTTTAGAAAGGTATGTGAGTGTATGAGAACACTTAGGAAGTTTTGAAAGTTTGAAACACAGGTTTTTAGGAAGTATTTACATTCTGCCCAACTTGAACTGGTTCAAGAATTTTAGAACATGTTCAGCTTTTGAGGATTTTTTTTTTTTTAATTTAAGTCTGCCCAACTTGAAATGGTTCAACCACCCTGAACCGGTTCAAGCATCACAAAATGTTTATATTATTTTTTTTCAAAAACTTACTGGCCAACTTGAACTAGCTCAATCACCATGAACCGATTCAAGGTCTCCTGATTCGTTTTGGTAACTTACCTTCCTGGTCTGTTTTGATTCCTATTTGGTTTAGACTTCCTTCCAAAATCTTATGCATGAATTTGACTAGATTTCTAAGTATTCTTAGGTATTCCAAACTTCTATATAATCTCTCTTTTATTCAACATTGAGCATGGCTTTTGGAACACAAATTCAATTTTTTTAGAGAGCCTTTTGAGAGATATTTTTCAGAAAATCAAATTTGATTTTTTTGTTTTTGTTTTGAGAACACACACACACATATACACGAGTGATTTAGTTGTGTTGTTCTCTATCTCATTGGAATTCGAGTATAATTGAAGATTCAGATATTTCGAAAAGCATATATATTTCTTCTACATCAAATTCAAATCTTGAAAAAAAAAAGGTGAAGCGATCACACTTTGAAAAGGTCAAAGCATTCAAGAAGTATTGTTTGATATACCAGCAATCCTTCTACAGGGATCAAGAGAAAGCCTGGAGTCAAGAACTATTGGACGGGACATCACAAAGCCGGAGATTATCAGTGATTGGATTTTTGGTAGATTGATAGGGTGTGAGCCTGATTTAAAGACCACTGTACTTTGTTTCATAAATAGTGGATCGTTTTGCTTTGGACTGCACAATCCACGAGGTTTTTCCTACACAATTGGTCTGTTATACCAATTGGGGTTTCCTCGCTAAAAGTCCTGGTGCCATATCTTTAACTCTACTTGCTTTACTTTTCAATATTTATCTTTGTGATTGTGAATATTTAATTAATCATATTGCTTAGGTAAATTAATCAATCACAAAAATTGGGCAAGTTGACATAATAATCTCATCTAGGTTATTTAGGAAGTTAATCACAATTAAATCAACTAACAGCTTCCACACTACGTACCTTACACCTAGTTCGTCCCAATCACCTGTAACACAGAATAAAAAACCGTGCCACTAGTCTACAAAAAAGAAAAGTGAGGGGAAAAGAATTACATTAAAAACCATGCCACTAGTCTACGGCTTCCGAAGTAAAATGTTCATATGAAAGAAAAGCCTATTCAAGTGTGTGTTCGCACATACTTTTTCCTATAAAATCCCAACTGATGTACTCTCACGACCAATGGTTTTAGATGTGTAATATATTACAATCGAGAAACACCAATTTTAAATTTATAAAGCCACTACCCAACTAAATTTGGAGTATAACGAGTAAGGATCGAACACGGGGACTATAGGCTAGATTGAAATTAACATTAATGAGCGTCATATTGAAAAGATAATTATTGTTCTGTTTAACTAATTGTGAAATTAAACTAATTAGGAATGCAATGAGATTGTGTGGAATTGAAATTGGATTAAGGCTTCGACTTCACCACAAAGCCTATGCAATTGTACCAATTACCGTCAATCAATGGGGAAAAAGGGTTATAGTGTGTTGTGTGTTGTTTGTTGTCGATCCTACACCTAGTTGCACAAAAGTGATGTGAAAATGTGGCCAAGTTTGAATTTATAGAATGCCACTACAATTACTAACAATTAATATAGGTAGAGTGAGTAGGGATCATCCCAAGGGAAAGGAGTGGTGCTTTGGAATCAATGATGGAATAGTAGGTCAAATGATTAAAAAGGGTTTGATTTGATTAAACTATTGGTTCAATTAAAACAATGAAATTAAGTGACGATTTAGAAATTAGAGAAAGTAATATGAGAGGAAGATCTTGGGGCTTAGAGTTCACCACTAAGCTTTACTTCACCAAACACTAGAAATTATAATTTAATGGGGAAATTCAAGTTGTAAAATGTGTGTGTGTGTCACTAATTAAAAACTAAGCATGGGTGGCAAATAAACATAAATTGTCTAGTCAATCTAGTGAATAGAACAACCTATCAAATGAGACCATTAACCATTCAATTAAACCACAATTAGTGCACACACAAAAATCTAGAGAAATATACTCTTTGCACTCATAAGTATGGAATATCAAATAACAAGAATGGATTGTCCACTTACCTAAGAAATAAAAGCAATTACACTACAACTAAACTAGTGACATGAAAATTAAGCTAATTAAACTAAGGATGTGGCACAATCCATCAAGAAATGAGTATGATCATCAAATAAACCACCCACAATAGTTGTCAATTAAGTACTATGTTTTAACCATTACTAGATTTATAACATCAACACACATAGACATGCATTAATTTCATTAAATTTAGAGAAAAACACATAAACATTTATTCTAGCATACATAGACATATGGATAGAATTAAATGATCAATTGAAAGCATTAATCCATACAAATCAAGTCAAAATCACAAGATCTATATTTATTCAAGGTCAAAACATTTATTATAACTAAAATCCCCAAAAATATTCAAAAGACTAGGTTTAGGAAGCAAACTTAGGGGTTATCCCTATCCCCAAGAAAAAGGATTTAGCCACTCATTGTAGTGGTCATAGAACCCTTAAGGGCTAGCTTAGAGGTTGGCATCATCATCTTTATCCTTACTTTCTCTCTAAAACTATTTCTTCCTAAAACCCTAGTTTTAGAGAGAGAAACTATTTCTATAACTGGTAAGAAAAATTATATGATATCTCTACAATAATAATTGTTCAATTAATCTATTACAAGCCTCTTTAAGTAGGCACCAAGTCAGAAATACAGCCAATGATTGGAGGAAATTCGCAGCTACCAAAGTTAGGTGAAGTCCGGCACGATTGGGAATTAGACAGCACATTGCCAGTAGTCAGTTCGATCGATCGAAGGGAACTTCAATCGATCAAAGACTTGCTTTGATTGATTGAAGATGACGTGTCATCAAAAATATCTTCTGGTCGCCTTCCATTTCGATCGATTGTAGCCAACTTCGATCAATCGGGACTTCCTTCGATTAATCGAAGTTCCTCTGGTGTAGTTTTTTTGACTTCTTTCCAATGTTGCTCCTTTGCTCCAAAATTGAGCTAAATGGCTCTTATTAGTCTGTTTAAACTTTGTTGACCTGAAATTGGCAAAAACACAATTAAGTACTAAGAGATGAAAGTAAGATAGATGAATGGACTAAAATACCCTAACTTAGGTGCTAAAATGCGTCTTATTTGAGCACTTATCACATCCCCAAACTTAGATATT